TGGCTATGGCTGATGCATGCTTTTCCTTTCATGTGTTCCCAAACCGGTTAGGCCCCCCCTGATAAGAGGATCGACGGGGTGGAAATATTGTCGATGCGCCCGCCCCCTCCCTTAGGTTGTCTGGGGATATTTTTCCGGCAGGTTGTGTGATCCGTGCCCAAGTTTTCTGTACCCTCTAGAGTGCCCATTATGCGCGTCTGGACACAAAAAAGTGGCCATAGCATTTGGCTTACAAAAACTGGACCTTTTTTGGAGAACCGCACGGCAATCTTTGGACGTTGAGGGCGGGCGGGAGCCGACAAAGCCGCCCATTGCGGACGACGAGGACTTCAACTGCTACATTTATGGAGCCAAACGTCATAAATGTACCTTAAAAGCACACCCTCTTCCACAGCACCCACACCCACAACAACATACACAGCACCTACACCCACAACAACATACCGATAAGCCTGGATTGAAACAGCTGAAACGTTGCGTGACTTTCATGGCAGGGTGGGCGCATCGGCTCCCCTCAACCTTTCATCAGTTCGTGTAATGAAACACAGCAAATCAGGGCCAGGGTCGAACTCTTAATCAACGTTTAGACTTCTGAATAGCAAACCCGCTCACTCGTATAAACACTAAAAATATTGGTAAGTGCCAAGTTCAAGTGCTGGTGATAATGCCGAATAACTAGGCTTAACATGCCGATCAATGGTCAAGATGTGGGCGGCTGCTTGGTCTTAGCCAAGGCTTTGAGACGCAAAACTGCGTCTGTTAAGCTAGCTGCTTATTTGAATCAAATTGTCAATCGATATTCCAGACTGACGCAAAATGGTTACAAATTGGCAGGGTGAAAAAACTTGGCCCATGCATCCCGAACTACCAAAAGCCAAGAGCGACACACACAACTTTGCGAAATAAGTTTGCCATCCCCAAACTGAAGGTTTCCAAAAGTTTTCGCATTTGTCTACGAGAAAACATTTTGAGCTTTACCAAAACGGCCTGCCTTGAATGACCTTGAACTTCAACCTATAATAATTCGGGAAGTTGCGTATGGCTACTTTCCCTTTTCGGGTTTTGAAATGTGTATGCCCCAAGTAACTAGCTCACAGATTTATAGCCCGATCATAGGAGTCCTGAATACGGTAACAAAGCTTGATATAAAACTGCTGCTGGTTTGATAAGCGTCCCAAAACTTGGCTTAGGCTGGGTGAGGTACGTGATAGTGTCCATGTCCTTGGTGCGATGCGAGGTTGTGTTTTTAATGAGTTAAAAAGTAAAATACCACTGAAATATTACCAAGGATATGCATGCTTTTATGAAAACTTAGCCCAAACATCAACGGTTGCGGAGGTGATTATAGCTCCAGATGTGTTGAAGCTCTCACATTCATTGAAAATGCTACGTAAGAAATGACGTTGGCCCACCACCTGAAACAATGAAATACTTTTGACAGATGCGGTTGCAGGCTCTGCAATTTGATCAAACAGGGACTGAAGTACATTAAAATGCGCCGCCACGGAGTAAAATGTGTACCGATATGACCGGCAGCGGCAGCTTCGGGCCGACCGAATTAGCTCCCCGCTGTTCCGCTGGTTGAACGGAGGAGGAGGGGAGGGGGGGGGGAGGGGGCTGGTCAGGTTCCAAGTCCCAGCATGCTTCCGGGAGCTGGTGAGCGCTTCCTGGGACATGTGATTTTGAGGCGTGGAAGGCAGGCGGCGCCTTCCAAACTACATCGTGTTGCTATCAGCTGGCCTGGACGCAAAAGCCCTGTGTACCTCTTTGTGTCTCGATGCGGACAGCATGACGCCTTGCTTGCCCACTACTATCGACCCCTCTGGGATTATTGCCGCTTTCTCCGCCCCCGACATTTTGTAAATATATTCATGTCTGGCATCGCGTTGTCTTTCTGTATCGTGTTTCTGTTTTTGCAGATGTATTAGGTCTGGTACATTGCAGCACATGCAACGAAATTAGTAGTTTGGTTGGAGTTATAGTCTTGCTGCATGTCACCTACATATCATTAACGGCAGAATCGTTTTCCTTGGGGTGAAGTTTTCCTCACATCAGCCTGCTCACCTAATGCTGGTGGTGAGTTCGAAAAGTCGACTGTTGATGTCACGCGTTCAGTATTTGGGGAATTGAAGAGGCGTTGAAGGAAGTGTTCCAGATATGAAGGGGTTTTAAACTCAAATAGCCATCTTGAAGATCATTCGGTGCATTTCACAGCCCCGTCCTTCCAGACATAACGGCTGTCAGTTGGCTCTCAATTAATGTTGTGCAAGATACGATGACGTAATCAAGCAATGACTTATTGAGGAGCATGTGCACTAAACAGAGACGTTGTGTTGTCTAGAGCAATTTTTCCGCTTAAAAGCATACCGATAGTTTAAAAGTGAGCTTCTTTCATCAGATCTGATACTTGCTTCAGAATCTTCAAATGTGGATCATTTCCTTTAATTATGCCGGAGGTTGCCAGGGGAAATCGGGGTTGCCAGGTAAACTTGGGGGAGGGCAATTAGGGTCTCAAACTTCTTTATCATTATTTGGCCAGGATAAAGAGGGAATGGTGAGTTTCCCGAAAACTCTCGATCAATGCAAACATGCTGGGGGAAATATTTTCCCTTTTACATTTAATGTGTCCCAGCTCAATGACGTAATTCAACGTATTACTGAGATGTATTGCATTCGGAGATGCTGCGCGACGGGCACATATTCTCAAACAGGTCCGAGAGAAAAGGGCATATATTAGCACTACACACTCCTCAACCCTAATAGTTTACTTGCCCCAGGAGTGTCATCGCCCTCTAAAACAAAACCCACGGTTCTTTGTTAATGGAGGAAGGTTGCGTACTTGTGTTGTGACTGCAACGTTGCATCGATAGCATTTTCTGCGTTGAAGAGGTTGTCTGGATAAATCCAGGTCACTTTCTACCCCACTCGGATCGCCTCGTCGACTTCATTGAAATCGCCATGCCTCTCCTCGTTGAGGGACAAGAGTCTTCACGGATCATCACGAACGAATTCAACGAGACCAAAAAATTCAACCCAGGAATTCATGCAACTGCAATGCGAACTATTTGCAGAGTCGCAGAGCATTCAGTCACCGCGCATCCTACCTAAGTTACATCGCAAAAGTTTGCACGTGGGCTTCCTACCTGAGATAAATTGTCACATCAAGATCTGCTTCAACAATTTTCACTGTCTAGTGTGGAACACTGAGAGTCGGCTGGCAAAAACAGTGAATTGCCCGACTGGGCGAGTCATTATAAATACACTGATTTGGCCTCAACTTGCCACCGAGCAATGTGACCAATTAAAATTGCCAAATATTTTTTGTCGCCAGACTAAGGAGAAACTAAAAGCAAATACCATGTTTCTGAGGGTTAAGGATAGGTAGGGTATTTAAATATGTATAATAAATAAACATAACATAAAAATAATAAATAAATAAATGATAACATCAAATAAAAAAATAAAAAGGTAAATAGGGTAAAAAAGAAAAAAAGAAGGGTAAGGGGTAAGGTAAAAGGGGTAAGGGGTAGGGTAAGGTGAGGTAAAGGTAAGGGGTAGGGTAAGGGGTAAGGGGTAAGGGGTAGGGTAAGGGGTAGGGTAAAAGGCCTTTCCATATTTTTGTTTTTGTTTTTTTCATATTTTCCATAAAGGCCATTCCAGGGTCAACTGGTGTTGTGTGAATAATTATGTAACCATGCAGGCCTTATCTTAGGTTGTTCAGAGTGTGCGGCAATGTTCTGTCGTGGTCGCAGTACACCTTTCACTTAAAAACATTTTTGGAAGTCGGGACGTTTTACCACCGCTGTTCCTGTTACATCACATCGGATAAAGCGCCCCTGTGAGCCCCATCACAGCCCCATACAAGGCTGCGGATGTTAATTAAGCAAAAGACAGGATGCCACGAACAACGTTGGGACAACCGACTCCAGAACAGAATGAAATATAATTCGTGAGATCACCCCGGGGGTGTCGCACAAACTGCTGGCGAAAGTGTGTGCGCGCGTGCGTCTCCTCTGAGCGCATCGTAGAATCCGAAAATACGGCTCGTGCATTGGGACTTTCCTTTTCGTGGCACGAAATCCCCGACATGTGTCGGGACTCGGATTTTTTTATTATGTCAGAACAGGTAGCACTGACATTCTTCCATTCCACGTTTGCTGCATTATTTCGCTGATGGATGACATCCGCAAATAGCGACCAGCTCTGCCTAAAATGATACATGTACCTACTATTCTAAATGCCAAACCAAACGTGCCCACTGCTCAGAATGAATAACTGAAGCGTTTAACGTATGCATCACCCGACAGCGGCTTCTTGCATGCTCACGCTGAGTCACTGACCGCTGAGGGCAGTCCGGTGAACTTAGGAAGGGTGGCGCACCTCCCATTAAGAGGACAGAGGTGGGATTATGCACCTCCTTTTCTAGGGAACGAGAGGAGTCGTAACAAAGCGCTTATTCAGTCCGTCAAAACTGTCATATTCTACGTGACGTCACGCAGATCCATGCCGTCTGGCCGGTTTTGGCCGTCCGCTGGGAGCCGGACGACAAAGATTATCTGGCACATCACGCATATTCTATGCTGAACATGCAGAAGCTTTTGGGCTTGCTCGATCGCCCTGGGGTAACTGTGACGCGAAGGTTTCAAACGCCTGAAGGCGAAAGGAAACGAGCATGCGGACAGCACATTCAAAATGCATCGTGAGAAGTTGCTACTTATTTAAAGTCGTGCGATCAGATAACATTGATTTAAGTGTTCTTCTGCCAAGTAACTCAAATCACAAAGATATTTCCAAACCAAAGGGAGTCAACAGCATTGCCACAGGGCATGTGGTCATTGAAACACCAAGAACGTATGTCACGTGACCTGAAGGGGATCTGTGCCTACACTATTTGAATGCTCACGCAGTCGCGTCAACAGCATCACGTGACGTCTGCATGTACGTTTCAGCGACAAAAACAACGGGACTTAGAAGCAACAAGCGATGCGAAGAGAACTTACGGTTCGTCGTCAATCATTCTTTGCAGCTCCACAGACTCCTGATTGCTTCCTAGTTCTGTGGAGCGGAAGGGGCTCCAAAACTTCCAGTGTTGTCGGGCCATCACGAAAATAGTCCGAGCCCTCTAACAGTGAATGAGGGGCGTGACCAGGCCCTCACGTGCACACGAGCCTCCCACTTCAACGCTGCTGGGCTCACTCATCTGAACTATCGTCAGCCTCATGTCAACACTCTGTCGCACCGGTCAGACCTCGCTGGCCGCCCACGTCGCCCGGCTGCCGTGTGCCGGTCCGCCGCTGCTCACCGGCCCCGGTCTTCAGGCCCGCCACTGAGCGGCGGCGACGGCTGCGCGGTCACCACAGGGTCGGCGCTGCACCACGGGACTCGGGTGCGGAGCGTCCGCGCGCCGGCCGCTCGGACGTGCTGCTGGCGGCCTTGTCCGGCCGCCGCGTGTCTCCGTGCAACCGGCGTCACCTGCCGGGCCGCCGCCGGCTGCAGTCGGGCCGCTTTCCGGGCCGGGCCGGGCCGGGATAGCGCCGGACGCCAGCAAACCGAGCTATCGGTGCGCGGCGCCGAGCGCCGAGTGTTGTGTGCACAGGGGGCCGGCCGGCCGGCCGTGGCCGCGGCGTGCCCCGGCTCCGGTGCAGCGCCAGCGCGGCCGCTCCAGCGCGACCCCGCCGCTTCCGGCCGGGCGCGACCGGCGCTGCGGCCGCCACGCGCCGCTGCCGCCGGCGTTACGGACGTCTTAGCCATAACCTTTCAGGCATGTAAGCCGCGCGGCGGTCGCGAGCAGGCATGGATGCCGCGAGTTGTGCAGTCCATAGTAATCCCTGACGCAGTTCATGATATAAAATCCGTTCTACGAGACTGCCAATAAGCCAGTTCACCTCCCCATCTCAGGGCTGTTACTTACGTAAGGTCATCAGAGGTGGTCAGGTCTCGGACATTAACCTTACGGCACAGTGCGTGGGCCTTGCAAATCGGTAAATTGGTTCATCGCTTAGGCATGTTACGACGCAAAGGGACGCGCACGAGCGTCAAACAAAATGAAAACGACGCCGTCTTCGCACCACAACTCGGCGCCTGAATCATTCCCTTTGAGCCGCCGCATCGCCGTTATCGGGACGGGCGGTGGCGGCATCCTCCCGCGCCGGCCGAAGCAGAGCGGGACTGCGCCCGGTCAGCCCGCTCAGAGCGTGCCGGGTGCCCCGAGCGCACGCCATCGCGCACAAACTCCCACCGTCTGCTCCAGGTCTGCCACAGAGTAGGGCGGTCTTCGCGGGACGCCAGCTCAGTGGGGCTATCCACAGGCGATGGTTGCCCTGAGTTTGTGTCTTTATCGATGTTAAACATAGCAAGTATCCTTAGCAACTTGAACACCCATCGTGCTTTCAACATTTGCCGACAACCAGCGGCAAGATCTTGAACATGCATGAGAACAAAAAATTCGAACGAACCATCCGACCAACACCATAACATTATCAGCTTCAAAGGACGATTGTAGAAGTCTGATCAGGGTCAGTAATCGCTTCATGTTACCGGGCTAGCGCCAGCACCATCTCAGCGTCCCGCTGGGGTGAGCTGCAATTCCCAACATAGTCACATACGGCGAGCCAGGATGAAGCTCCTGCCCTTCAAGCTGCAAGGCTCAAATCAATTTATGTAACTCTTTATGAAACATTGGAACATGCAAGCAATGTTCCGTTTGTGTCCTTTGTCTTTTATGCCAAAAACCGATACAATTGTGTCAATGCGACAAAGACGTTTACCACGCCTTTAAAATAGCTGACAATACCCAAAACACGAAAGGTAATGGTCTGTACGGGACGTTTTGCAGCACGTAGACCGGTACAAATGGTCTCAGACTAAGAACGGAACACCTTTTTATGTCATACTTTTGCTGAACGCGTCAAACTTTCCAACAGCTGTCGCGGCTGCACACGTGATATGCTTTTCGCTCCTAGCTGCGGCCCAGTCACGCTGAACATTCAGTTGAGAGAAAATAATTCAAAGGTTTTTTGTTTCATATTTGAATATTTAACACGCAGCTTATTTGTGTCATGCTTGCAGATGATAAATAGTGACTCATCAAGTGCGCGGCTGCCGACTTACAAAGCTGTCGCATGCATTAATACTTGAGCTGATTTAAGCAAACATTTGGGCCTTGTACCGCACTCTCATTGTGACAGGCAAGTCATTGGGACCTAATGTGAGCGTCCTCGGCAAAATATCATGGGTCACACTTTTTGTTCTGGGGTCACATTTCTATTACGCACTTTTAACGTGCGTAAAGAACGCCGGTGTGAACAGAAAATAAAAGCGAACCACACCGTCCGCTCAAAGTATCATCTACAACCGAAAGATGCGCAGCAAAGAGGTATTTTTATATCGGATTTCAAATCCATCTTCTAAAGCATGAAGAACAAGGCTCTTTATATACACTTGCGTGCTTGTAATTGTTGTGTTGAGTATCACGATATCTTTTTTAGGCTTTGAAAGGCAACAGCGGCGGCAAACCTCATTCACACGTCGGAGCATCACTCCAGCCTCTCTTCTTTACAAAAATAGCATTACCTAGCTGGCAGCATTACCGGTCACATGGCCTCTTCGGCCCCACGGAGGGCTCCTGGGGCAATGAGGGCCCCTATGCTGGTCAGCGAACACCAGTACCAAACAGCCGGCCTCGTGTGGGCCTGGGGTCAACTATAGATACAAGGCTGGGAGGCCCGAAAATGTTGGTCACAAGACCTCTTGCACTGGCCGAGACCCCTTAGACAATTAAGTGTCTGCGTCGATCACGGGGCCAAAAGGACCAAGGAAGGGATCCTCCCCGGTCAAGAGACCCCGAGGTGGCCAGAGACCCATTTGCTGAGCAGCCGCCGGGTTGTGTTGCGTACAGTTACGAGCTGTGTCCCTATTGAAGCCGAGTCATCAGGCAAAGAGGTCACGTTATGCACGGTTACGAGATTTGTCGCTGTTTAAGCCAAGTCATCCGGCAAACAGGTTGCTTGCCACACGCCATTTGTTCCGCCAGAACCTGAACCATGAAAAAATCCGCAATGTGATTTGATACTCATGTTTAAAAGTCTTGCCCAGCGCCTCACCAGCTGTCTGTTGTTATCACATAGCGCCGGGGATAGCGAGGCGGTCCACTCTCTGTGATTGGTTCAGCATGACAGCCCCGCCCATGGTGCGACGGAGTACCCGCTTCTTATTGGTTAATCCTGACATGAAATTACATCATTTTCGTAACACGTAACTGAGTCGTTTCACACGTTTCCGTCCCACCGACTCAAGACTCTTTTTCGTTCGGAGGTAGTATATAAGGCCAGCCGCTCGCATGGGTATCGATGTCACAAAATAATTGGGGGGGGGGGGCAGACAAGTGCAAGTCGCCATAAGGGGATAGGTCAGAAAAGCTTCTGAGATTTCCTCCACTTATATATATATATATATATATAAATATATACACATATATATATATATATATATATCTGTATATATCTATATATACACAAATCTATCTTTCTCTCTTTCTCTCTCTCTGTCTCTCTGTCTCTCCCCCTCTCTCTCTCTCTCTCTCTCTCTCTCTCTTTCTCTTTTGGCACGAAGGACACAAATGTATCATGGCTAACTGAACAAGACAGAACCCTACTTTTGCTTTGATACATATAAAATACACTCATAATGAGAATAAGCAAAAAAAAAACAAGGATATCGCCACAGTCACATTACTAGTGCTCACCGCCTATCACCTGATAGCTTAAGGGTTGGACAATAATTTGTTTGTCTGTTGTACAGATGAACAAATTCTTCAGAGGCGGGGAGCTGGTCGATGCGGAAGTCCTCAGATGGACGAATCATACCATAGTCGCCTGCCTGATGCTGGAGGCCCCCTGACCCTGGCATTTGGCCTCGGATCGGTGCAAGAGCCCCCACTGATGCAACAAGACACCTTATCGCCGCAAGCGGTCCAATAACTGGCCCAGGAATTCGGGTCAACGGGTCCTTGACTGGAATTGGGTTGGGGGGAGGGGCCTCTGCTCCGCACTGGGGGCAATGAGTGGCACAGGGTCTTTCCATTGTCTCGTTGGGGCCTCCAGTAATAGGTTATGACATATCATTTCATTGTCAAAGGGCCGCGGCCAACACAAGAGGCCCCTGACCTGACCCCGTCCATGTCCCTGTTCAGTAAATGCTCTCCTGGCTGACTCGGGACTCCTTGCAGACACAGAACCGCTGTTAGGCACTGTGGGCCCCTGACCAACACATGGACCCCCATCGTTCAGAGGTTCCGATCACCGCAAATCGCAGGGTCCGCCCTCGTACCTGTTTGGGAAATGGGCTCCTGGGCTCAGATCAACACAGAGTCGACTTTTCGGCGTTGTTGGCCTATAACCGAAATGGAAGTCCGCATTGTCCCAGGGTGTTCCTAATCGGCGCAACAGGCCATTTCACTGACATTTGCGGGTCCGTCCCAGCGGGCCGGGGTCCTTTATGTGACCTACAGACAGCCCTTTATGTCCTCCGATCGGGCATTTCATCGCCGCTCCTAAGGGGCAATTCGGGCCCCTCTGCGGTCCACTCGAGCACTGCCTAAGCCGAATATGAGTCCCCTGCTCTCTGAGCACTGTAGTCCGCTGACCAACACAGGGGGTCCCTTTTTGACCTAGAAACCCCGACCAATGTAAATCGCGGGCTCCGGCCTCGTCTCCGCTGGGAAATGGACCCGCACTCACAGACGCGAGCTGGTGCAGGCTGGTGGCGAATCCGATACATAGCACGGTCGCCGCTAAAGGGGGTGCTCCACATTTATATAGCTTACTCATAACAGGGCCTCATGATTCATAACAGGGCGTCATAGTTTAAACGTGGGCCTTCTAGTAAAAAATATAACCCATCACTTTAAAACGGGGCGTCACACCTCATCAAGAGGGCTCCTAGTTCAAGATAGTGGCTTCTCGGGCATGTTGGACAAAGTTGGACATCCTGATCTAGAGCATCGGCTACTTGATGATAAAAACGGTCTTATGGTCCAGTAAACGGGTCTCTTGATGCACATCTGAGCCTTCTGAGCCTTCTGAGCCCAATCTTGTACTCTTTAGCTCAGCTACAGGGGCCTTCTTATCTGATTTTTGGTAATCCATGTATGCTACAGTGCCTTGGAGGCTCCTTTTTCTAGAGCAAAAGGAGCCTTTTGCTTAGGCAAAACGAGCCTCTTTAATTCATT